GCCCGCCGGACACGAACCCCAAGGATACGCATACGTTACTCCTTCGTTACAGATACAGACAAGGGAGCAGGAATAAAGTCCTTTTTCGTCGGTTCTGGTTTGTATCGCTGTATTTTTCAGGCTTTATTTTGCATTGAATGAATATTTTTGGCGAGAGAAAAATTCAATGGGCATCATTCTTCGCTCCACGTTTGCGGGAAAAATAAAAGTCATTGAGCCACTTTTGTCCCCTTTTTCAAGACGTCTGTGTCGCCAAATTAAAGTCGCCGTTAGTGTCTCAAATTAGGCGTTAAGGATATTCGAGTGTCTTTTCAAAAAGCCAGTCATTTCTTCACTGAAAATGTCTAAGATTTTGTTTCTAGACACTAGTTTTTACAGACTTGCTGAGAAATTTTATCAAGTGACAGTTCCATAAAAATTCCATAATTTGACTTCATGACATCTGAATTTTTCTTATCAATTTTTGTATTATAATTTTCTCATCCGCATGTTGATCTACATATGTTAATTTATTCTTGAAACTGCTATTTTATAAATATGTAATATTCTGTAAACATCCAATGTGTTCTTCTGACCCTATAATTGGCCTGAGGGCTATTGGATCTGAATACAGAAATAGATAAATAAATAATTTGATGAAATAATTAGAAAAAACTGCAAACAGTTGTTTAATTATTCAAGTAAATTGCAAAATTCTCTTCCCGCAATGAAAAACTTCATAATCCCATTGAATTGTCCGCGAAGTTGGAAATTTCCCGATTTTTCCCTCCGAAACGGAATGCAATATCGCTGTCTTAAAAATTCTACTCGAAATGAGACGTCTATTCCTCCTCCGTCATCTCAAAATATTAAAAAAGCCGAATTTTTCCATGCGCCGGGCATTTTCAGACCGCAATCCTCATACGTTAAATCGCATCCTGCAAACCAAAGGATTCGCTTTTTCCCCGAGTTCCTTTCCCCTCCACTAGATCAACTTTTTTCACTCCATCCCAAGTATCGAAGACTAACCAATTCCCATATCCCCACCGATTTCCCATAAACATCATTGACATTGTGCGGGTGCTATTCACCTCCACTTGCGCGTGAAAGATTCCATTTAATTCCCTCATTCCCCCGATCATTCGGTTTTCAATAATCTTCGGGACGTGGATAATTGAAAATAGTGGACCATCCACAGTGAATTCCCTCGGTCTGTGTCCTGAAATTCTTCGGAGAGTAATCCCGGCCACATCCGAAGCCCATTGGGGTGTCTTTCCACTCGAATGTCCTTTTTTTTCCCTTCCTTTTACCATGAAAATTCGTCTCTCTCCCTCAACATCGCTAAACACTCTGGCTCACTCCGTCTGCCTTTCTATCGCGTGCTCTCCACCGTCTGTATAACTCGTCACATCTGTGTGCATTCGTGTACAATGTGTATGTGTTGTGCGCGTGCGTGTGCCGTGCGGCGTGTATTGTAGCGTATCCCGTGGGTCTGTCTTTGTCCGACGCACGGGGGAGAGTGAGGCACCGAGTGCGCCGTCGACGAGGTGTGGCAACGTTGCGAGAGCGGGTGTGCGTCCCGAGGCGGCCCCGATGCTGGTGGGGACTGTGGGAAAATTCTCATGCCGCCGACTGCGGCGAACAGCGGCTCTCAATCTGGGACTTACTCGCTCGGATGTCGATTGTAACAGGGATATTCTCTACTATTGGTCTTCATG